TTGGGTTAACAAAATCTTTGGGTGTCAGAATACCCAATTGCATAGAACATGGCAATGAGGGTGAATAATAAGGAGGAAGAAAAAGAGTGAGAAAGCATGTTTGAAAATATTTAAGGATATTCTGTATCTCCAGCTTATATAAATAAAGTTGGAGAAACTTTTTGCTTTTTGCAGTAGAAGTTTGATTTTCTTATGTACAACCTTCAGGTAACTTCATTAAAACATGAACCTACTAACCTGTTTTGAAACTGTCTCATTGTTATTTCTTTCTCAATAAAATTAAATAAAACCATAAAAACCGTAAAAGAAATTACATTAGAAAATGAAGTTTGAGTAGAGAAATATATTTTCAGCAAAGAAAAATCCTGAATTTTATTGGGAAGTACAATTTTGCAAAACAACAACAATAACAAAAAAATTTTGCTTCCACCATTTGTTATTTCTACACCATTTGTTATTAACTACAGAGAAACTTTACTATACACTGGTGCTGTCCAGTTGAACCTGCGGTGGTGGTAGAGGTGTTCTGTATCTGCATTACCCTGTATGATAGCCACTAATCACATGTAGAATTGATAACTTAAAATGAGTAGTGACTGAAAAACTCAATTTCAAATTTTATTTAACTTAACTACATGTAAGTGTAATTACATGTGGCCTGGCAATGATTTTTCAACTGATAGTGATTCCCCCCCCCCGACATTTGACAATATCTGTAGTTCATATTTCATATTTGGCTATCAGATCTAGAGAGGTACTGATTACATCTACTACACAGAAACCAGGGATGTGTTAAACTTCATAAAGTACATAAGATAGCTTTTATAACTACCAAAAGGAAGATAAGATAGCTTTCATAATTACCAAAAGGAAGAATGATTTTATGGGGGCTGTGTGGCTCAGTTGTTGAGTGGTTCCATAGTGTGCCTGAGGCCCTGGGTTTGGTCACCAGACAGAGAAAAAAGAAGATATTGTTCAAAGAAAGTATTGTTCAAACCTCAGCCTGTTGAACCGAGGTTTAGAAAGTAGGTTGCTGGCTACTCTGCTGCCAGACACAGATCAGACTGGTTTTATAATCATTATAGGCTTACTAATATTGGTTAATACTAATGATTTGTAGATCTAGTCTAATTTGAGATAGATAACAGTTATTGGTTTTTGGTTTTTTTTTTTTAATACTGTGTGAGGATATAAAGGGCCACCTCAGGAGCTTCTGAGGCTGATACATTCCTATCACCACTATTACTTTGGCACACCTGGTTCCCTTAGTGGTAACATTTTTTTTTTATTTAAGAACTTTGATAACAATAAGGTAAAATTTGCTAATTCTCTATATTCTATTTTGTCCATTGATTTGTAAGAGGCAAGCATTTTTGTTTTGTTCTCCTTGTCTGGCTTAAGTATTTTTTCTGTAGAATATTGTATGAAATAAGTTCTGAACCAGTAACACTGAACAGGTATGAAATACTGGGTTTAAAATGTACTCAAAATGTTCTCATATTCATACTGAACTATTAGGGGCTGGGAGATGGTGCAGTAGAATAAGTGCTTGCCTTGCAAGCCCAAGGGTCTGAGTTCAATCCCCAGTTCCACAAAATAAACAACAACATACTGAACTATTTACAATTTAATACTGTTTTGTAGTTGACGGTGTTGAATCTAGGTATATGGAAGTTCCTTATGCTTTAAAAAAATTTTTTTTAAAAATCATCTTTTACTGATTTGGGTACAGGGTCTTGCTACGCAATGGACTCATACTGATCCTCCTGGCACAGCCTCTCTAATGCTTGGATTACAGACATGCTCCATAATGCCCAGTTTTGGTGGCCAGCATGGTATGACATAGCATGTGGTACCAGGGATCAAACCCAGATCCTTGTGCTTGCCAGGCAGGTGCTTAGACCACCAACCTATCTCCCCTGCCTCTCCTTACACTTTTATGTTTGAATTTTTTCTTAAGTAAAAATAGTACTTAGACATAGGTAAAACCAATAATGATAGAATATATAATGTGACCCAGAAATACTAATATATTTTCTATCGTAGAAATACATTTCATTGAAACTCCCAAATGCTTACTGTTTTGTTCAACATATCACAATTAATAAATAAAAGTCACTGTATTTCAGTCTAACTTTCTTTTTCTTATAGATTGTTCTGGGTCACATAATGCCAGCTGAGCGTAAAAAGTCAGCAAGTATGGAAGAAAAAGAATCTTTGCTAAACAACAAGGAAAAAGATAGCAGTGAAAAGCGACTAGTGAGCAGCAAGGAAAAACCAAAAGATGATCTCAAAATCACTTCCAAGAAAGAGGTCAGTAAGGTCCCTGAAGACAAAAAGAAGAAACTGGAAGAAGATAAGAGAAAAAAGGAAGACAAGGAACGCAAGAAAAAAGAAGAAGAAAAGGTGAAGGCTGAGGAAGAATTAAAGAAAAAAGAAGAAGAAAAAAAGAAACATGAAGAGGAAGAGAGAAAAAAGCAAGAAGAGCAGGCAAAACGTCAGCAAGAAGAAGAAGCTGCTCAGTTGAAGTAAGAAAATTTAATTATTGATGTGAAGGAATGGGAAAATTGGAATATTTGGAGTGGGAAGGATTATTTGAATAAAAACTTCCTTGTGCAGCTCCTGGACATTTGGGAGTAGAGTAGTCCCTCACTTAGCACAGGGGTTACTTTCCAGACATCCCCACAATAAGTGAAAATCAGTGAAGTAACGATGTTATATTTATTTTAGAATTTATATATATTTTAAAATATAAAACTTTATAAACACTTTTAAAAACAATTCTAATGTTCTTAATCATTTCCTAAACTATAAATCTATATTTTAACATGTATACTGTACAGTACTGTAAAATAGTGAAAAAATGTGATAAATAATTTAGATATAGTGAAAAAATGTGATAAATAATTTAGATTAATATTTTTTGAAAACCCATGAAACAGTCTGTAAAATTCTAATGTTCTTAATCATTTCCTAAACTATAAATCTATATTTTAACATGTATACTGTACAGTATTTAGATATAGTGAAAAAATGTGATAAATAATTTAGATATAGTGAAAAAATGTGATAAATAATTTAGATTAATATTTTTTGAAAACCCATGAAACAGTCTGTAAAATTCAAATTGTAAAATGGTGAGGGACTACTGTATGCGAATTAGTTCTGTAGGTTCTGGTAACTAAACCAGTGCTCTTAATTATTACTTTAATAGTAAAAGTCTTTAATACTTTATGAGATGTGATCTAAATTGTTTTTTCTTTTCTTTTCTTTTTTTTTTGGTGGAACCGGGGATTGAACTCAGGCCCTTGCACTTGCCAGGGAAGCGCTTATTCCACTGAGCCATTGCTGCAGCCCCTGTCTTTTTTTGGGGAACCAGGGATTGAACTCAGATCCTTGTGTTTGCCAGTCAAGCACTTATCCTACTGAGCCATCTCCTGGGGGCCCTTCCTGTTTTGTTTTTTAAAAGCTTATTTTGTGTTATAATACTGTGTTTTCGTTTACCTTTGTCACAAAGCAGTTAGATCTGACAGAGTAGTAGTGGCCAGTTTTAGAATATTTATAGCCATGATTCTTGAGAGCTTTTGGCCTGTTAATTTTACTTTTCTTTAAGAATAAATTTTATTCATAATGATACTCTTTCATAGTAACTGTTTTCCCTTTCTCCTTCCATCAAAAGAGCTTTTAAAATTCCAAATTTGTATTGAGAAAATTTCAAACACATGCAAAAACAGAAAGTAAAATGAACCAGTTCCTTTTTACCTTTTCAACAATTACCCAGTTTTTACCCATAGAATATTTTAAGGCGTCATGTTGTTTTGCCCATAAAAGCTTTGTTAATATATTCTAAAGTCTTTTCAGCTGAGTTAGCTATGTTTTCTTAATATATATCATCACTGCTAGTCTGTGTTTGTGTATGGCTGGGAAATTTCCAAGAGCTACTCACATGTTCATTTTCCCTGTGGTGGATACCACTTGTTAATGTAGTGTAGCGTTTGGTGGAAAAATCATAGAATTGTAACTTAAATTTTTATCTAAGATTTACTTTTTTATACATTTATATTTTAAACTTAATATGCTTATATCTCAGAGTCACATTGTCCCTCTCCCATGCCATCCAACTTATTTTATTACTTGTTCCCTCTTTTTAGTGGAAAAATGGGTATGTCTTTTTAACAATTTGTTCACATCTTATGAAAAGGTTTGATAGTTCTTTTCTGGTTCCTTCCCAAATTTTCTAGATCATAGTTGACTTACAACCTGAATCTTTTTTTTTGTTTTTTTTTGGTGCTGAGGATCGAACCCAGGGCTTCTAGCTTGCTAGGCAAGCATTCTGCCACTGAGCCAAATCCGCAGCCCCAACAACCTGAGTCTTATCAAGTATAGTACTTCATTAAAATGTTGGTTATGCTAAATATAGAAAAACAAATCTAACATTTTGAAACATTTTTAATGCATTCTCTTATAATGATTATAATATTTTGGTGGGCAGTTTATTTCTGTTTCTTTAGTGCTGCTTTTTTCTTTTTTGGCTTTCTACTGCTTTTGTTTTTTTACATTTTATGTTCTTCCCGAGCATATCATACTTTTCATGTTAAGCATCATGTGTTTAATCCCTTTAGTTTGCCAGTTGGCAGAATTGTTTTTCCTTTTGAAACAAGGTCTCGCTCTGTAATCTAGGCTGCACTTGAATGTACTGTGTAGCCCAAGATGGCCTTGAACTCATTGCAATCCTCCCACCTCAGACTCCTGAGTCCTGAGATCATAGGCATGTGCCTCCTTGCCCAGCAACAGAATTTTTTTTGTGATTTGTTACTATTGTTCTTTTGTGATACTGGAGATTGGGCCCAGTTTTAAACAAGTCCTACCACTGAACCACACACCTAGCCCATGATTTTAAATTTTGATCCAGTTATTCAGAACCTTTCCCTTTACCACATGTGGTATTAATACACTGTGATGTTATTTTAAGTCATTGTTAAAATATCTTCAAAAATATTGAAAACGCATTTCTACATCTTTTATTCCTCTTACATGCTGATGTTTGGATGATTTTTTTGTCCTCATTGGAGTTTAATCTTTTTTAAAAAAAAATTTAGTATAGATTCTACAGGGTTTCATTACACAGATCAGACTCACGGTGATCTTGTTTTTAGCCTCCCAAGCGCTGGGATGATAGGCTTGCGCCACCACGCACGGTCTCAGTCCCCAGTTTATCATGTTCTGGGGGTGGGGCTGGCATAGCACACCAGGGATCGAATCACAGTCCCTGCAGGCACTTTAGTCTGCTGAGCTATCTGGCTAGCCCTTGGAGTTTAGTGTTGAAAGGATTTATCAATAGTGCTTCAACAGTATATATGCACTGTTTTATTTGTGTTTTGTTTTTCACATAGAGAAAAGGAAGAATCCCTTCAGCTTCATCAGGAGGCTTGGGAAAGACATCAGTTGAGAAAGGAACTTCGTAGCAAAAACCAAAATGCTCCAGACAACCGACCAGAGGAAAATTTCTTTAGTCGCCTGGATTCCAGTTTGAAGAAAAATACTGCTTTTGTCAAGAAGCTAAAAACTATCACAGAACAACAGAGAGACTCCTTGTCCCATGATTTTAATGGCCTAAATTTAAGCAAATACATTGCAGAAGCTGTAGCTTCCATTGTAGAAGCTAAACTAAAAATCTCTGATGTGAACTGTGCTGTGCACCTGTGCTCTCTCTTTCACCAGCGCTATGCTGACTTTGCCCCCTCTCTTCTTCAGGTATGGAAAAAACATTTTGAAGCAAGGAAAGAAGAGAAAACTCCTAACATTACCAAGCTGAGAACTGATTTGCGTTTCATTGCAGAATTGACAATAGTTGGGATTTTCACTGATAAGGAAGGTCTTTCCTTAATCTATGAACAGCTAAAAAATATTATTAATGCTGATCGAGAATCTCACACTCATGTTTCTGTGGTGATTAGCTTCTGTCGCCATTGTGGAGATGATATCGCTGGACTTATACCTAGGAGAGTAAAGAGTGCTGCAGAGAAGTTTAATTTGAGTTTTCCTCCTAGTGAGATAATTAGTCCAGAGAAACAACAACCTTTCCAGAATCTTTTGAAAGAGTACTTTACGTCTTTGACCAAACACCTGAAAAGGGACCACAGGGAGCTCCAGAATACTGAGAGACAAAACAGGTGATTTTCAAATGTTTCTCAGAATTGAGAATTTATTTTGGAGCGCATACTTAAAATGTTTAAAGTCTTCATGCTACTGAAAGAACTTACGGAAAAGGGCTCCTTACAGGTGATTTCTTAACATTCCAGGAAAATTTCAAGTATTATAGTCT